CCAAGCCCCCTTGGGACCCCCAAAACCTCCTCAGGTCCCCCCAAATCCCCCCAAAGCCCCCGGCCCGGCTGACCGAAGGCGGTCGGGGACATCTGCTGCATGATGGCGCGGCACTCGAGCGCGGGGTACAGCGACACCAGCGGCGGCGTGGCCCGGCCCGCGCCCGCCCCGAGCTGGCTGCTGGTGCCTGGGTGGGTACAGGGGTCAGGGACACCCCAAAATCCCAAAAATTCCCAAACCCCCCGAACCGGGGTCAGCGACACCCCAAAATCCCCAAACCCCCCCAACCAGGGTCAGCGACACCCCAACTCCCACCGCCCCGAGCTGGCTGCTGGTGCCTGGGTGGGTACTGGGGTCAGGGACACCCCAAAAACCCCAAACACCCTGAACCAGGGTCAGGGACACCCCAAAATCCCAAAAATTCCCAAACCCCCCGAACCGGGGTCAGCGACACCCCAAAAACCCATCCCACCAGTTCTCCCAGTTTGTTCCCCCAGTTCTCCCAGTTTGCTCCCCCAGTGCCCCCAGCTTGTTCCCCCAGTGCTCCCAGCGCTCCCAGAGCTCCCAGTTTGCTCCCCAGTGCTCCCAGCGCTCCCAGTTTGCTCCCCAGTGCTCCCAGCGCTCCCAGTTTGCTCCCCAGCTCTCCCAGTGCTCCCAGTTTGCTCCCCCAGCGCTCCCAGTTTGCTCCCCCAGCGCTCCCAGTGCTCCCAGTTCCCCCAGTTCTCCCAGTTTGTTCTCCCAGTTTGTTCCCCCAGTGCCCCCAGTCACCCCAGTTTGCTCCCCCAGCGCTCCCAGTGCTCCCAGTTTGTTCCTCCAGCACTCCCAGTGCTCCCAGTTTGTTCCCCCAGCGCTCCCAGTTTGCTCCCCAGCGCTCCCAGTTTGCTCCCCAGCGCTCCCAGTGCCCCCAGTTTGTTCCCCCAGCGCTCCCAGCGCTCCCAGTTTGCTCCCCAGCGCTCCCAGTTTGCTCCCCAGCGCTCCCAGTTTGTTCCCCCAGTGCTCCCAGGTTGTTCCCCCAGCACTCCCAGTGCTCCCAGTTTGTTCCCCCAGCGCTCCCAGTTTGCTCCCCAGCGCTCCCAGTTTGTTCCCCCAGCGCTCCCAGTTTGTTCCCCCAGTGCCCCCAGTTTGCTCCCCCAGCGCTCCCAGTGCTCCCAGTTTGTTCCCCCAGCGCTCCCAGTTTGCTCCCCAGCGCTCCCAGTTTGCTCCCAGCGCTCCCAGTTTGCTCCCAGCGCTCCCAGTTTGCTCCCAGTCCCACCTGGGGCGCAGGGCGAGGGCGGCTTTCCGGCCGGGGGGGCTCCGGGCGAGGGGGGCTTGGGGCCGGGGGTCTCGGGGTGCAGCCCGGGGTGCTCGGGGGAGGGCGCGGCGCTGCGGGGCCGCGGCGAGCGGCCGCTCCGCTCCTCGGGGCCGCCGGCCGCCGCCGCCGTGGCCGAGCTGCACGTGGCGCTGGCCTTGCGCGGCTGCGGGGACACCGGGGGACACCGAGTGACCANCTCCTCGGGGCCGCCGGCCGCCGCCGCCGTGGCCGAGCTGCACGTGGCGCTGGCCTTGCGCGGCTGCGGGGACACCGGGGGACACCGAGTGACCAGAGTGACCAGAGTGACCACGGAGTGACCAGAGTGACCAGAGTGACCACGGAGTGACCAGAGTTAGCACAGAGTGAGCACAGAGTGACCAGAGTGACCACGGAGTGACCAGAGTTAGCACAGAGTGAGCACAGAGTGACCAGAGTGACCAGAGTGACCACGGAGTGACCAGAGTGAGCATAGAGTGAGCACAGAGTGACCAGAGTGACCACGGAGTGAGCATGGAGTGAGCACGGAGTGACCAGAGTGACCAGAGTGACCACGGAGTGACCAGAGTGAGCACAGAGTGAGCACAGAGTGACCACGGAGTGAGCACAGAGTGACCAGAGTGACCAGAGTGACCACGGAGTGACCAGAGTGAGCACAGAGTGACCAGAGTGACCACGGAGTGAGCACAGAGTGACCAGAGTGACCAGAGTGAGCACAGAGTGAGCACACAGTGACCACAGAGTGACCACAGTGACCAGAGTGAGCACGGAGTGAGCACAGAGTGACCAGAGTGACCAGAGTGACCACGGAGTGACCAGAGTGAGCATAGAGTGAGCACAGATTGACCAGAGTGACCAGAGTGACCACGGAGTGAGCACACAGTGACCACAGAGTGACCACAGTGACCAGAGTGACCGGAGTGACCACAGAGTGACCAGAGTGAGCACAGAGTGAGCACAGAGTGACCAGAGTGAGCACAGAGTGACCAGAGTGAGCACAGAGTGACCAGAGTGACCAGAGTGAGCACAGAGTGACCAGAGTGAGCACAGGGGACACAGAGTGAGGGGAAACTGAGGGGACACTGAGAGTGACAGTCATGATGACACCGAGGGGACACCAAGGGTGACCCGGGCGGTGAGGCGACACTCATGGTGACACCGAGGTGACACCGAGGGTGACCCGGGCAGTGAGGCGACACTCATGGTGACACCGAGGGTGACACGGGCGGTGAGGGGACACTGAGGGTGACACCGCGGTGACACCGAGGGTGACCCGGGCGGTGAGGGGACACCAAGGTGACACCGAGGTGACACCGAGGGTGACCCGGGCAGTGAGGGGACACTCATGGTGACACCGAGGGTGACATGGGTGGTGAGGGGACACTGAGGGTGACACCGCGGTGACACAGAGGGTGACATGGGCGGTGAAGGGACACTGAGGGTGACACCGAGGTGACACCGAGGGTGACCCAGGCGGTGAGGGGACACCAAGGTGACACTGTGGTGACACCGAGGGTGACGCGGGTGGTGAGGAGACACTGAGGGTGACACCGCGGTGACACAGAGGGTGACATGGGTGGTGAGGGGACACCAAGGTGACACCGAGGGTGACGCGGGCGGTGAGGGGACACTGAGGGTGACACCGCGGTGACACCGAGGGTGACGCGGGCGGCAGCACCCACCTGCCGTGCCTGCTTCTCCTGGTCGCGCAGCCACTGCAGGTAGGACTCGCGGGCCACCTGCTCCTCGATGGCCTCGTTGGTGGCCTCCCAGTCGGTGGCACGCTTCTTGTCCTCCAGCATCTGCTGCTCGATCCACGACTCCTCCGACGTCTTGATGGCGCTCTTCATCAGGGACTGCTCCGCCAGCTGCCGGGGGACACGGCGGTGGGGACGTGGGGACAGCGGGGGATTGGGGACATTGGGGGGGATGGGGACATTGGGGACATTGGGGGGATTGGGGACATTGGGGGGATTGGAGGGATTGGGAACATTGGGGACAGCAGGGACATTTGGGACAGTGGGACATCAGGGAACAGCGGGGACAGGAGGGACACAGGACACCAGGACATTGGGGACATGGAACACCAGGGGACATTGGGGACATGAGGGACATGAGGACACTGAGGACACTGGGGACATGAGGGACAATGGGGACAGCGGGGAGGTGAGGGGGCACAGGGACACTGGGGACATTGGGGATGTGAGGGGACATTGGGGACATGGGGGGACACCAGGGGACATGGAGACATTGGGGACACGGGGACATCAGGGGACATGAGAGACATTAGGACACAGGGACGTGAGGGGACAGTAGGGACACTGGGGACAGCAGGATGTGAGGGGACAGTGGGGACATGAGGACGTGGGGACAATGGGGACAGCAGGGACACGGAGACACTGGGACATGAGGGGACAGTGGGGACATCAGAGGATGTGAGAGAAGGACACTGGGGACAGTGATGGACACTGGGGACACCGGGGGACATTGGGGACATGGGGGGACAGGGGGACAGCGATGGACACCGGCGACATGGGGACACTGGGGACAAACTCGAGGTCCCACCCATGAAAGTCGGGGTCGCACCACCCAAATCAGAATCTCCAGACCCCAAACTCGGGCTCCCACCCCTCAAACTCAGGGTCCCACCCCCCAAACTGGGGGTCCCACCCCCCAAATTGGGGGTCCCCCCGCCGTACCCCCGGTTTGAAGGAGGGCAGCCCCAGCCCCACGCCGATGGTGGCCTTGTTGGGGTTCACCACGGAGTTGTAGTGGATGTTGCGGTGGTAGCTGACCCGGATGGGCTCGTCCTCGTTGTGCTGGATCCCGTGGAACGTGTTGATGGGCTCTGGGGACCCCGAAAATCCAGGTGGGACCCCGAGATCCGCATGGGACCCCGAGATCCGCGTGGGACCCCAAAAATCCAGGTGGGACCCCAAGATCCGTGTGGGACCCCAAAAATCCAGGTGGGACCCCAAGATCCAGATGTAAACCCAAAATCCATTTAGGATCCCCAAATTACAGATGGGATCCCCAACGTGTTGATGGGCTCTGGAGGACCCCAAAAATCCAGGTGGGACCTCGAGATCCACGTGAGACCCCAAGATCCAGATGGGATCCCTGAAATCCAGATGGAACCCCAAAATCCATATAGGATCCCCAAAATACAGATGGGATCCCCAACGTGCTGATGGGCTCTGGGGACCACAAAAATCCAGGTGGGACCCCAAAAACCCAGAGGGGATCCCCGAGAAACAGCTGGGATCTCCAAAAATCCAAACAGGATCCTCAAAAAAACACCCGAGATCCCAAAAAAACCCTCCGAGACCTCCAAAAAAGCAGCTGTGACCCCCAAAACGGCACCTGAGACCCCTCCCCACCCCTCCCAGTTCCTCAGAGCCCCCTCCCCAGTGCTCCCAGTGCCTCCCCAGTGCTCCCAGTTCCTCAGGGACCCCTCCCCATCACTCCCAGTTCCCCTGGGACCCATTCCCAGCACTCCCAGTCCCTCAGGGACCCCTCCCCAGTGCTCCCAATTCTTCAGGGACCCCTCCCCAGCACTCCCAGTCGCTCAGGGACCCCTCCCCAGCACTCCCAGTCGCTCAGGGACCCCTCCCCAGTGCTCCCAGTCCCTCCCCACTGCTCCCAGTCCCTCCCCATCGCTCCCAGTCCCTCAGAGCCCCCTCCCCATCACTCCCAGTCCCTCCCCATCACTCCCAGTCCCTCAGAGCCCCCTCCCCCTCACTCCCAGTCCCTCAGGACCCCTCCCCATCACTCCCAGTCCCTCAGAGACCCCTCCCCATCACTCCCAGTCCCTCCCCATCACTCCCAGTCCCTCAGGACCCCTCCCCACTGCTCCCAGTCCCTCCCCATCGCTCCCCGTCCCTCAGGACCCCTCCCCGCCGCTCGCAGTGCCCCCGGCACGCACCGGTGCCGTACTGGTAGACCTCAACGGGCCGGTTGTACATCTCGGCCATGGCCTGCATCTCGATGTGGTTCCCGTGGCACGTGCTCTTGCGCTTGCGGTTGATGTAGGTGGTGAAATCCTCCGTAACGTAGTTGGAGAAGTAATCGGCGTTCTTCATCTGGGGACACGGACACGGGGGGGACGTTGGGGACACTGGGGACAGGCTGGGGACAGTGGGGACATTGGGGACATGGGGACATTGGGGATGGTGGGGATGGTGGGGACATTGGGGATGGTGGGGACACAGGGACAGGCTGGGGACATTGGGGACATGGGGACAGTGGGGACATTGGGGACACTGGGGACAGGCTGGGGACATTGGGGACATGGGGACACTGGGGACAGGCTGGGGACACGGACACGGGGGGGACATTGGGGACACAGGACAGCTGGGGACACTGGGAACACAGGGATGTTGGGGACATTGGGGACACGGGGACAGGCTGGGGACATTAGGGACAGGCTGGGGACACAGGACAGGCTGGGGACATGGGGACAGGCTGAAGACATTGGGGACACTGGGGACAGGCTGGGGACAGTGGGGACATGGGGATGGTGGGGACAGGCTGGGGACAGTGGGGACATGGGGGACATGGGGACACTGGGGACACTGGGGACAGGCTGGGGACAGTGGGGACACAGACACGAGGGGGACATTGGGGACACAGGGACAGGCTGGGGACACGGGGACGTTGGGGACAGTGGAGACACGGACATTTGGGACAGGCTGAGGAGGGACACACTGGGACAGCCCTGGGGACACTGGGGGAGGGAACAGCAGCCTGCTCCCCCCAGGGCTCTGAGCACCCTCCCAGTCCATCCCAGTTCCTCCCAGTCCATCCCAATTCCCTCCCAGTGCCATCCAGTGCCCACCACTGCCCTCCCCAGTCCCTCCCAGTTCCATCCCAGTTTCCCCCAGTCGATCCCAGTCCCTCCCAGTCCCCTCCCAGTCCCCTCCCAGTCCATCCCAGTTCCTCACCAGGTAGTCCATGCAGTGCTTCCTCACCACCTCGTGCATGTCCTGGTCTCCGTACACCTGATCGGCTGGGGGGACACACAGGTGACATTGGGGGGACACAGGTGACATTGGGGGGGACGGACAGGTGACATTGGGGGGACATGCAGATGACAGTTGGGGGTCTGTGGGGGATTTTTGGGGGGATTTTTGGGGGATTTTTTTGGGGATTTTTGGGTGGATTTTTGGGGGGGTCTGTGGGGGATTTTTTGGGGGATTTTTTGGGGGGATTCGGGGTGGTTTCGGGGCTCACCCACGGCCCGGAACAGGCAGGCCCCATCCTCCTTCATGCGCTTGATGATGAAGCCTTTCTTCTCCCGCAGCGCCTTCTCGAACCGGTGCTCCTGCTGGAGACACAGCCGGGCTCGGGGGGGTCCCGGGGGGCCCTCGGGACATTCGGGGGTCCCTCGGGGCATTTGGGGGGTCCCTGGGGGTCCTTCAGGTCATTGGGGGGGGGGGGGGGGGGGGGGGGGAGGGGGGGGGGGGTGGGGGGGGGGGGGGGGGGGGGGGGGGGGGGGGGGGGCGGGTGGGGCGGGGTCACGTGGCCGCA